GTTCTTTGGAACATTCCTCACAGTTCAGAAAACACTGTTGGATATGTTTACTAACAGAGAGAAGCATTTACTGGCTGGATTTCCAAACAACTTTGAATATTGTTTTACCATTAACATCAGTAGTACTTCTTAAACATCATTAAGAATTTGCTAGCATTCTGTTATTCCTCAGAGTACCTCTGTCTGTGGTGGTAGTAATGGATTAGATGAAGATGGTCCTCACTGTGTAGCAAGTATCCTGAAATTCTGCCAGCTGACTGTAATGTTTAATGCAACTGTCATTCCACCGTTTTCATTGTTTGGTTTAAATAATGTTATAACAGCAACAGAAATTCAAAATTGCTCTTAAAAATCCATGCAAATATTTCTGTTGCCAAATAATTTTGATGAAGGATTGGTGTCACTAAAAGCGATGAGGAAAAGCCATTGAAGTAAAAAAGAAAAAAAATAGCATAAATGTTTGGAAATGTGGTATAGGCTTTAAGAAAGACCAGCATTGCTAATGGTAAGGGTAACACAGGTAGCTCTAATTGTTGGCTCTCAGAATAAAATATTAATTTTTAGAATTTATACAGTAGTTGATTTGATTTCTTGAAAATTCTTCTTTTGCTCTCTGAATGCTTCTAAGTAGTTTTGCCTTCTATTTTTTGTCTCTGTTAATTTAGAGAGAATGAATTTCAGATTGCCTGATACATAGTAAAATGAAAATGTAATGACAGAGAGCCATAAATCTTTTAGTTCTGCAGTAACTCTAAATCATGGGGGGGGGGGGAAGCTGTGCACAGATTCCTGTTTTAGAGTTGTTGCTATTTTTTTTTTATTATTGATTTAAGGTGGAATTAAATTACTGAATCCTTGCAATTGAAGATGCTTTTCAAGCATTTTTTAAACCTGTTTACAGACACCATGGTTTAACAAATAGGGTTTAGGGTTTCTCCATTTGTATAGAGAGTTTGTATTCCAAAGAGATTTATGAAAAAGTGGCTTGTAAGTTTATTCAATTATGCCAGGGAAACAAAATATCTGTCATTTTTGTGATCAAGAATAATATCGGATGTCTTTCTCAAATGTGTAGTTGGCTGGATATGTATCTCAGTGAGGCATGTATCTGGTAGCAAAGCCAGAGGTTGCGAGCTTGATTCCCCACCATGCATTTCTAGGAGAGCCAACCTGTGTGGCGTTGGGCAAGTTGTATGATGGTCCCAGGGCAGCCCCAGAAGAAGCAAATGGTCAACCGCTTTTTGAGTGTTATATACCTAGAAAACCCCAGTTCCTTAACTATTAAGGGCTTTTGACAAGCTACATATCTGGGGAATACTTCTGCAGTATGCTCAGAGGCTATGATGACAGAAAATACTGGCCCTCATAAGCTGTCCGAAACAGCTGGTGCTCTTTGCTGGAGGCTCTTGCTCAGTGCTGGAAAGAAACAAAAGTTGACCTTCACACATGAGAAGCCATGTGTAATCTTGAGCACGACAGAGAGCTAGTTGCTGCTTAGCCACAAGGGCTGCTTTTTATAGTGAATTAATTGCTGCTCTTTGCCAGAAAATATCTAACAACTTGTCCTTCAGAATGTGTGTAACATGACTGATGAATTTAACACCAGGCGGGATGTGAGTGATTTGGAGAACAGTGGTGCTTCAAAGGGCAAAGTGAAATATTCAGTCAACAAGCTGTTTACATAAATAATTTCCTTTAACTTTCTCATACTCGGCGGGATACAGAGCTTCTGGGTTTGTCTCTGAATGAAATTCTGGTCTGCTTTCTTCAGTGGAATTTCAGAGAATTTCGATAGGTTAAACACAGTATACTTAAAATAGCAAAACAAAGGCTTTTGTACTTTGGACTTGCTATTAGTATTCAAGGCTCACTGGAAATGACAATAAATGGCACAGAAAAGCTGTGTTCTGCGGGTGGGTAATGTGCAACTCAGCAACCACTGTTGAACTGCATCCTCCGTCAGCCCCAGTGACCATCTGATAACCTTTGATTAATTTATGCGCAGTTAAAGTGGACAGCCTTAAAATGCATTAAGTCTTTCAGCTGACAAGTATAAATAAAATATGAGGGGAATTACCATTTTTCCTTCATCCATTTAAGATAGTGTGGTGGGAAAAAAAATGCTGTTTTAACAGATGGGACTGGAAAATGCAGTCATTCTGCCAAAGCATCCAGTGAAATAGTGAGGAATGAGTTGCAGTCCAGAAATGCGTCCATGTGCTTCCTCTGCCCTGAGGCAGGTCTGTTGGTATAGACGTCACTTGATTCTTTGGGGGTTGGTCAAGTCCTTGTGTTGGTGTGGGCTTTGGCTTAGCATTAGTGTCTGATCCTGCTCTCCAGCTCCTTCTCCTCTTCTGAGCTAGAAACTAGAACCCTGGCACTAGGGAGGAAACAGGGGGAGTCAAATTTTACTCTTTGGCTTCCTAGCGTCATTTGACACCGTGGGCCAAGATACTGTTTTGGACCAGTCGCCTGATACAAAACTCAGTTTAGGTCAATGGAGTTCCTGCTGGTGGGGATGGTTCATCTGTTGTATGTGATGGTGTTCGGTGTATTCTAGACAGGTTTGCAGTAAAGGACAGCCTTAGGATGTCTTGGGTTTGACCTTGCCTTTTGAGGCCCCAGCTGACGTCATCACACAAAATATCTTCCCTAAGCTATGGCTCCCTGAAGTGTAGAGAGTGGGGGATGGCCACTGTTATTTACACTTTCATAATGTGCAGGCAGCATGCTGCTTTTGAAGACTGACTGGAAACTTCCATTGAGGCAAAGCACAACAGCTAGATAGCTAAAAGGTCAAGGAGAATGCATTGCTTTGTCACATGCACTGGCTCTCGGTTGTGCTGTTTTTCATCTTTGAAAACCTTAAAAGGCTTGGGACCAGGGTGTCCCATCTTCCACATGAACCTCTTTAGTTCCCTGAAGGAGGTTGTGACTTACAGCAGAGCATTGCCAGTTGTCATATTCCACCTTTCCCTTGTCTGGTGCCAGGTTTGATGTCTTTTTGGTGTCAATTAAATACAGTATGTGTTTTATTCACTCATGCTATTTAGGGGCTTATTTTGTATTTTGTATCATTTTGTATTTTAATCTAAATATATCCTGGCTGCCTTAATCATTGAGGTTTTTTTAAAAAAATATGTTCTTGAGAAGTCCTCTTTCTAATGTACTGTTACTTGAGAGGTTTTCTACCAAAGAGATAGAGCCAAGAAGCTTAAAATGGAATACATAACGTCACGTCACATACATCTTTATATATAGCAAACTGCTTTGTTGGCTGATCCACGGTTCTTGGCCCTATTTCTTCTTTTCCAAAACTCTGAACCGGTTCTGTGAGTGATGCAACATTCTTATTTGGGGCCAGTGTTCGGCAAACAAAGTAATTTTTCAAAGGAAATAAGAATTACAATACCTTTCATTTAGGAATACATGTACACTGGCCTTGTAGCCAATAATACATGGGACAGTTAAGGCTCCAGCCACTGTTTCAAATGCTGCTTTGCTGTTCCAGCTAAATGCATCCATTTTTATTCCACACAAGTGATCAAGCGTGTACGTGCTGACATTCATAATCTACACTGTGCTTCTTATCACATCGGTCTGGAGTAATTTCTGTTAATAAAACTTTAGACGAAGCCAAGCATAAGCTTTGTTGGGTTGAATAGTCACGAACAATTTTTTGTTGGTTATTTTGTTTCATGTTGCAACTCTGCATGAACCAACATCATTTTTTAGTTTCTGCCCTACCTGCTGGTTTTGGTGTAGTTAGTAAGAATCCAAACTTTTTTTTTTTTTGTAGCTACAAGATCGTACACAATTCAGTGACCGGGATTTAGCTACGTTGAAGAAATACTGGGACAAGGGCATGACCAGCCTGGGCTCTGTTTGCAGAGAGAAAATTGAAGCAGTTGCTGCGGAGTTAAACGTTGACTGTGAAATAGTGCGGGTAAGAAACCTCTAGCCCTCCCATTTCTGGTTGCAGAAGCAAAAATAGCCTAAATGAAAGCCTTTTTAAAAATTGCATGAGGTAGACTGAAATAGCTTGCACGTGTTACATAATGAATGGCCACGTCAGGAAGTGCTCCCTTGTTCTGTTTCCTGCCTATTTATAGTTGAAACCCCTCAGGTAAGAGATTTATGGATTGACAGTATGGTCTAGATGTTTGACACTCCAGTTGGGCTGGAATTTTTATACACTTTTTTTTTAACAAGCAAGGTCCTTCTCGAGGGCAGAAGGGGGAACAGCTTGCTGTTGGGCAAAGGTAAAGCTTCCTTGGAGCAGAAGGAAGTCACATTTTCTAACCACTCCCAACCTTGAGAGTCATAGTTCAGAGAGTGAGGCAGTTCTTGGCATCTTGAGCTAAGACGCCATAGAAAGCAGGCTGTGGAAGACTTTGACTTGTAGATCTTGATGAGTCCTGGAGACAATGTCAGGCTGGTCACGTCACTGTGAAAGAAAAGGCTTGTATAGCTTTCTGCAGATTGAGGAGTTCAGCAAAAGAATAGAAAAGGCTGGTATGGTACAGTTACAAAGAGTGTGAGCTGTGAGATGGCAGGTCCCCAGTTCAAATCTTAACTCATCAGGCAAACCACTATTCTCTCTCACACACAGCCCTTGTCTGTAATATGGGGTGCTCTGAAGTTTTCAGAAGAAGGGCCAATAAAACTGTCATAAATACATAATAATCCCAGATGTTTTTATAGGTGACATTTCTTCCCACCCATCTTTTGAAATGGTTACAAGGCATGTACCGTATTTTTCCGTGTATAAGACACCCCATGTATAAGACGCTCCCCCACTTTTCTAACCCAAAATTAAGAAATATTAAGTGGGGCTTAGCAAGTGTAGGGGAAAAGGGATCAAAGCACTGCAGGATCACTTTGATGCCTGCTTTCTCCCTTCATGCTAAGCCCCGTGGGGCTTAGCAAAAGGAGGGGGAAAGGGATCAAAGCAATCCTGTGACTACATGATCGTTTCGATACCTTTCCCCCTTATACAGCCATGGGATTGCTTTGATGCTTTCCCCCTACACTTGCTAAGCTCCAGTGTAAGTAAGCAGAGGGGAAAGCAAGGATCAAAGCCATCTTGCAGCACTGTGATCCCTGCTTTCCTTTTGCTAAGGCTTAGCAAGTGGAGGGGAAAGCAGGGATCAAAGCCCTGCAGGATCACTTTGATCTGCTTTCCCCTCCACTTATTTTTTCTCTCCTCAGCTTACTTCCATGTATAAGACGACCCTCAATTTTTAGTCTGAAAGGTTTTAGACAAAAGTATAGTCTTATACATGGAAAAATACGGTGTGTGGTTCTTTGCCACCAACCTATGACAAACCTGTGAGTTAGGTTAAGCTGAGAGGAGATGAGTTCCCCCAATGGTGAATTTCATGGGTGAATGAATTTCAACCCATATCTGCCCAGTCATGGTCAGATACCATGTTACGCCATTCTCTCTTGAAGCTTCAGTATTTTGGTGGTCCAGTAAAAGTATTACTTTATTTTTGGACTTAGTCAAGGGTAACACTGCTTTTTATTATTGTTGTTGCTGTTGCTGCTGCTTCCTGATAACTGCACTCTACTTAGATTCCCCCCCACGACCCAGAAATCTACAGTGATTATATAGTAATGTTTTAAAAGGTAAAGGTAAAGGTTCCCCTTGACAATTTTTGTCCAGTCGTGTTCGACTCTAGGGGGCGGTGCTCATCCCCGTTTCCAAGCCCTAGAGCCAGCGTTTTTGTCTGAAGACAATCTTCCGTCGTTACATGGCCCGTGCAACTTAGACACAAAACGCTGTTACCTTCCCACCGAGGTGGTCCCTATTTATCTACTTGCATTTGCATGCTTTCGAATCGCTAGGTTGGCGGTAGCTGGGACAAGCGACGGGCGCTCACTCCGTCGTGTGGATTCGATCTTACGACTGCTTGGTCTTCTGACCCTGCAGCACAGGCTTCTGCGGTTTAGCCCGCAGCGCCACCAGTAATGTTTTACTTGTGGTAAAATGGAGCACCCATCCCCACACATCTTGTTTTCTGTCTTCAGAAGCTTAATTAAATACTGCTATAATTGAAGTATTATCTTTACAAAAGTACTAAGTAAGTCTCTGGCACACATAGCCTAATTCAATAAAGCACACAGTTTAAAAATACTTGATTTGATGAACTAGTTGACTTTTCAGCTGAAGTAGCAGTTTATGAGCACTTATGATTTTGACTTAAATATCCATTATTTGCAGTACATAGCTGCAATTAATTGTTTTCTGAAACTGGAAGAATTGATCCTCTGAGAGGCAACATTTTAAGAGGACCCAGTTGTATGGTGTTTTATTAATGGCATTCCATTCATGGACAAAAAGAACAAGGAGACTGTGACATAAAGAACACGTAGGCCCTGCTTGCAGGGTTGATGATCCCATTTCAAGGAGCTCTGTCTGTACCATCTGCATTTAGCAGTGTGTGAGAGAGTGAGCATTTAATTTTTAAGCAAGTCACTGAGATCATAGCCATTTATATTTATCTGAGATCATAGCCATTTATATTTATTTACTCAAATTCTTATATATTGCTTTTTCATTTCATTTTGTGACAAAGAACAGAACAGATTGCAATCTCTTCCGTATAGAAATCTTTGAAACTTTTCCCCTTAATTTTCCCGTCTTTGGGTGAAGTGGCAACGTCTGACGTTTTCTGTGTCTGTTTCTCATTACAAGACTTGGATTGGGAATCGCAGACGAAAATATCGCCTGATGGGAATTCAAGTCCCTCCTCCTCGAGGTGGCCCTGCTGATTTTTCCAATCAGTCTGATTCCAGCAGTAGATCAATACCCATTCCAGGAGACGATGCTTCAACTGACGTGGGAGATGATAATGACAGAAATGATGACGTATCAATATGCTTATCAGAAGGAAGTTCTCAAGGTACCATTGCCAGCAATATATTGGTTAAATAGGACCTGTAATATATTTGTAGTAGGTTCAGTGCTCTGTGCTTTATTCCAGGCAATAAGTCTTTCAGATTCATCATCTGTTTTTCCCTCCTCACAGCAAACAGTATTCTATATTGCATTTTTGCCTCAAACTTTTATGTTCCTGCTGCGCACACAGTAACATTTTGACTACACAAGTATCAGCACTTGGAGACTAATATTTGTGTCCAATTCTTTATTTTCTCCACATCTTTGTCATGCCTCCTCCTCGTTCCCCATAATTGTAGATCCACCTTCTTATATTTCGTTCAGGGAAATCACTGTTATGAGTCTTTGAGGGGATGACACTTAGATAATTGAGCCTGCTATTATCACGTATTAGCCTTGCACACTATTTCAGCAGGCTCTATATCCCAAAGCAACTTTGAAGACATAACTAGCATTTATACTCTAAATAGCATTTATATCCTGAATCTGAGCGAGTATGTGTATAATCAGAGTCAAAGTTTGATAAGATTTAGCCCTCTGAGTGAAATCTTCAAAAGGTGAGAACACAAGAAAGGTCAGATCATTGCCTCATCCAAGTCTTTTTGGTGTCATGCTGGGCACCTGTTAACTATGCCCCTTTATCAAATGAAAAAGCAACTGAAAATCAGGATTTGGGAAAACAAACTTTTCCAGAAATAAATACGTGCACACTAAAAATGAAGCGTACCTGTCATATGGCAGAAGTAGGAGGGCAGGGAGGAGCCCATGGTGTATATTCACAGTAAAATCCCAGATTAGATAATCTTCACAATGTAGCATGTGCATTTTTCTTCTACCAGTCAGTGAGGATTGCTGGATTGAAGGCTTTGCTCTCAGAGTACAGATATCTGCATGGGGACTTCTTGTGCTAGTCTACTTCGCTTCGTCCACATTAGTGAGGGTATGATGAAAGGTCAATTGTGGTTGTGTAAATGGCCTTCTTCATCCTAGAAAATATCAGTATGAACTCAGGGAAGGGAAGAGGTGTCAATACTATTTCTTTCTTTCTTTCTTTCTTTCTTTCTTTCTTTCTTTCTTTCTTTCTTTATTTATTTATTTATTTATTTATTTATTTGATTTATACCCCGCCTATCTGGTCGGTGAGGACCACTCTAGGCGGCTAACAACAAAAACAATACAATAAAAATACAAATAAACGATTCTAAATGATAAAAGCACTACATTACATTACACAAGAAACAAAACAAAAACAGAAGAAGAGGAAAGAGGGGATCAGGAGGTATGTGATGGAAAGGCATGCCGAAACATCCATGTCTTTAACTGTTTCTTAAAGATAAATACATTGAGCATCACCTGATCTGCTGCCTCCCCCATGTTTAGGAACTAGATAGCTATATGTCCCTGGGAGCCTTGTTCCCACCTGGGGAGTGACTCTTGAGTCAGATTGTATGACCAACATCATGTGTTTCCTTCTTCTGCTACTCAGTTGATAAACAGGCAGAGTGAGGCAAACCCATTTAGACGGATTGTTAGATTCTATTTCCCAGAGAAGACAGTTGGTTTTTCCGAAGGGGAAGAGCATGAAACCATCAGAGGTTAAGGGACTCTGACAGTAAAGTTTTGTCCAGGACAATGAAACAATAGTCCCCTTGCAGCAGAGAGAGAAGGCAGTTGTTGAAAGCCAGTCATATGTGCACAACAGGTGATGTTGGAGCAATGTTTCATAGCATGAAGGAAACAACAACTGTTACGATTAAAGTCTCACATTTCACTGCCTTCATAAAGATAACTATTTGTTCCTGTTAGTTTTTACTGGACCAAATGAACAAAGATGGTGGTTTCTGAACTTCAGCTACAACTGGTGCTTATGCCACTACATGGATTACTAGAAATGTCTCTGTCTGATAGCAATGGTTTGCCTAGAAAGTTATGACTCTCCATTCGTCCTAGCACTGCTAGTTTTAAGCTTGAGGTTGCTGGGACAAAGGCGTATCACGAAGATGTGTCCCTGGCCATTTGGAGCCTCCAGCTCTGGATTGATCACAGCGGGCACCACCAAGAACAGAAATAATCCAGTGCATGTTTATAGAGTTGCCATGTCTCACATCCATTTCTCTGCACACTGAAGGTCCTACTGGCCAGGAAGTCTAGTAGGCGATGCAGAGTGACTGTCAGCAACCAGATCATAGTAACAATGCTTCCCTTCTTTGTTCTGAGGGTTAACTTATAGTAGTTCTGTTGCAGATCATTAGGGTAGATTTCCTTAAAATCATGACTTAAATTTCTATCCAAAAAGAATTAATTTAAATCATGTGATTCCCCCTCCCTCCATACATACACTTTCATTTATTTTTTCGTTTGTTTGCTTGTTTTATTTATAGGCCGCCTTTCTCCTGAGCAGGGGATTCAGGGTGGCTCACAATATTAAAAAGAACAGAATTAAAAACATAACAAGTTAAACATTAAAAAATAAATAAACTATATGCTAATTATAATACAATTGAATAATTAAAAGCAAGTAAATATTAAAACCTATTTTAACTTAAAACATTTGCTTGCTATAGTCTTAATGCATATTGTTTTAGAATATGCATATTGTTTTAGAACAATGTACTTTAAAAACATTTGTTTTGCAGTGATATTAGACAGTGAATGGCTATTTTAATTACTAGAGCTCACTGAAGTGGATATTTGTGAAGGCAGTGGAAGGCAAACAATATCCAGTTCAACTGATTAATCATGAATATTTAGAGGATTTTCTTACTTTATTAGGACAACGAACATTTCCACAGAGACACTGATATTATTTTATTTAACTTGCATAGTATGTGGGGCTTTTAAATTCTTTTAAAAAAAATTGTAGTTAAACATTAACTCTCGTCCTGCCCCAGATGTTTTAAAGCAAAGTTTATTTTTCACTATAAATATCAGCATCACTCAGGGGAAATAATTGAAGCCGGTTTTAGAGATTTTAATGCAGCATCCAAAAATTTGCAACATTATATCATGTTGGGAGGGGGGAACTACTGGAGAATTGGAATTAGCCTTTTAGTCACAGTTATGAAAAAGAGCTGATTGGGTGTCTTGCACCCAGACAGGCTTGCCCCAGGACATAGTAGCAACAGACAGAGATCTAACAAGTCCTACCAGCTAGGCAGGTAAGTCAAGGAGCCAAAGTTGGTCAGCAGTCCGAAAGTCATGCCAGTCCCATCACAGAATAAACAGGGTGAATCCAAGAAATGTGGTCAAGGAATCCAAGGCATAAAGAAACATCAGCAGCAGCATAAACAAACATCATCAGACACATACAAGGCAGGCAGTGACTGGAGCAAGAAAGATTTGCTTCCAGTAAAGTCCCAATCCAGATCAAAGGATTGCTAGATCCCCACTTATTCAAGCAGTGTCCAGAGAGGATCATGTGCAGAACTAATTGTTCCATAACACATTCCTTGGCCAAGGATACTTGGTGGGGTCAGGGGATCAAAACATGGCAGAATTTCAGTTCCTAGAGGGAGCAAGGGGACTTTCAAAGCCAGCTTTAAAAAAAATTAGGGGTGCTGGAGGACTGCACTTTGGCTCCTGTGGTGGGCAGTACGTGATTTGCATGCCAGATGTTCCCCACCTCTGCTTTTAAGATGCAGAGTATGTAGTAAAGTTCTGTCGTTTGGTAGCTTGCTTAACATGTGCTTAGGTGCTCTCAAGACGATTCTTCTAAAAGTGGTTCAGCAGTTGCTCCTTCTGGTCATTCTCTGGGACTGTGCAGCTGGCCTAAGGCCACACCTGAAGCAGAGCCCGTAACCCCATCAACCCCACACGATCTGGGTGTGATCTTGGCTGGCCTCTTTCCTGGGAAGCACAAGGGTTTTTTTGAACATAGAGATACTCACTTTGCAGCTTGGTTCTCCTAATTAACTCACTGAACTATCTTGAGTCATATCAGCTGACTTACAACCATATATTATTTTTATTTTTGTAGAAGAGCACAGTGAAGTTCTTCAGAGTGAAGACCTTGGTCTCAAAGAGGGGGACCGGACTACTGTATCAACTGATAATGTGGTAAATATGCTTCCTTAAACATAAGCAGCTTGCATCAATCCATTTATGAGGGTGGAATGGTATATGTGGGTGAAGAATTGCAATACCAGTGCAATACCTAGTAATGCAGGTATACACAGACGTCTATCATGGAAATGCAGAAGGGGCATTGTGTATGGAATTACATATTATAGAAATCTCTGAGTAGCTATTATAATTGTGAAGACTGTCTTTATGGAGCAGCATCTTGTATTTTGGTTCAGTTTTGGAAATCCCTCCTCCTCCCCCCCAAAAAATTAATTGCTTTTTTTAATATTTTTTAATATTTCCTTCCCCCCCCTAGAAAATAGAAATCATAGATGATGAAGAAAGTGATATGATAAGTAATTCTGAAGTGGATCAAATGAGTTCTCTTCTGGACTATAAAGTAAGTAATTTACATTTCTATTTAAGTAGGAAAACGGTGGAGCAATTCCAGAACCCCATAGACAGACTTTCTTCATAGATTCACATTGGAAGTAGAAGATGGGCAGCGTTTTGGTGACCTGGTAAGGTAGGGCCAAGCCACCAAAAGCTACAGTTCCAGGCAAAAGACTTCCTGGGTTTTTTAATGGTGGGTGGTGGCAGTGAAATTTTTGCTTCCTTCTTATTACCCTCACCTGTCGAACTTGTGAAGTTCTCAACTTAAAATACTTTGGCTGCTGCACAGGGATCTCTCTGCGCTCTTGGGTCTGCGGGGGGAGAGCATGTGGCCAGTCGTAACCATGCAGTGTCAGGATCATGCATTGAAGTTTCTGAAGCTATTGTTCCAGGATAGGCAGCAGATGGTGCTGGAACAAATGTTTAGGAGCGGGGTGCTGATTTCTTTGAAGACAGATGGACTGTGCAGTTTCAGCAGCTTGCGAATTAACAGCCTATCATTCGCTTTTATGCAGTGTAAGCGAAAGCCGTCAGAAGCTGTGGCAATTGTTGCATTTTGCCAAAATTGCAAAGGTTATATTACGTGTGTACATAAGAACTGGGGGTGGTTCACTCTCGACTTGCATGCCCTCAAATGAATTTCAGTTGTTAGGAAGAAGAACATGTTTTTGTTCTAAGCCTTTCCCTCTTTAGTATTAACAGAGTGTCTTTAAAAACTCTCAAGGCATGCGTAATTGAGGTCCACACATTTTCCTTAGGTTTTTTTTTTTCACAATAGGGGCAGTGCTGAATGAATACAGATGTGGAGAAGGGAGGGGAGGAGAAGTGACCTTTTCTTGATGTCTCTTGTCACCAGTCTGAATGGCTTGTTGTGACAATATGTCTGACATGGGCCCAATTTGTTGGTTTTTTAATCACATTTTGAAACAGACTGTTAGGCTTCTGAGCTGTATTGCTTTTGCTTAAATATGCAAATTCACTTTGGTTTGAAATCCAGGGTAAGAAATTGATGAACAAGGATTTCTAAAATTACGCTTGTTTTGTATAATAGGGGAGAATACTTTCTTTTAGGGAAATACATGTAATTATACAAATAGCAGATTTTAGATATGCTTTTACTAAGAAAGATATCTTCCGTTGCAATGTATCTGAGTGCTAAGAGTGGGATTTTCAATTTTTTTTTAACTACAGCACCCAGAAGGCTGTTGGAATTGCCTCAGCCAGAACTCTGGGAGCTTTAACTAGCCTGCCCCCCCCAAAAAAAGCCCTCTCAGATGTTTGATAGAAGTTACAAGTGCAGCATAAATGAGAGGGGAAATCATTCCATTTCCGAGTTCCGAAACAGTGTGATGAAGGATGAACTGGCTGGGCAGGGCAAGGCTAAGCTCTGTGGCATTGCAAAGCATTAGGGGAGTTGTGGTTTCCTGAGAGGCACCCTGTATGGCACATAGTGGGCAAGAGGTGGTGACAGTATTCCAGTGCTTTGCCGTGCCTTGCCAGTTCCTCCTTCATCAGAATGCAGAAATTTTTTCTTATTTATGCTGAGATGGCAAAAGCTTTTTACAGTGTTCATTTTGGAGGGTTAAAAAACAGCTGGAGTGAAAAGTGCAAGCATCTCAGATAGAAATGAGCATGGTTTTCCATTGAGGCACTTTCTTGCTACTCAGTTTTGTGTAGCATTGGGAAGAAGCCCGTCAGCAGATCTGGGAAGGTATGGTTCCTGCCACTCTCCATGCAGCTGCTGTGCACCCTGCTCTCTGCTCCAAATGGCTAAAAGGTCTTTGGTCATTTTTTTTTTTTACATTTAACTTCCTAACGTACTGTTTGTCACTAGTACTGTTTTGTTATAGAACAGTGCATTAGTAGGCATCTTTCAGTATCAAGAGACTATGGTAACGTGCTCTGAATAGAGGTCTTGGAACACTTGCCTAGTGTGGCTGAGAAGGCCAATTCGAGAGAGACCATCCCTTCCACACTGAAAACAAATACAATCTCTCCCCTGTCCAGCTCCCTAGTTTTGCTGGTTTTGGGACTGCCTCCTTGCCTCGGCCTGCTGGACAAGGGTTTCTTCAAATTGGGAGAGGCCGTGATGCACCGCCTGCCTCCAGGCTGAATGCTCAGATGATTGTCAAGGTTTCCCATCTGTCGAGGTCCATTCCAAAGACTTTCAGATCCCATCTGCAGATATCCTTGTACTGCAAGAACATTGCATGTAATGAAGTAAATGAAATACGAGATTGTACAGTCTTCCCCCTAGGATGTTACCCATTATTCATATTGGTTTGAGACTACTTTTATATACGCCATGTATAAAACTCCATCCAATTTTCATCATGTATTTTCACGTACAATGTTTAAAGGGAAAACATGGCTAAGGGAACAATTGGTTCATTGTTCTCAAATGATAAATAGTTCCTTTGAGTTACACATGTTTTCCCTTTTCTCTTAGAATGAGGAAGTAAGGTTCATTGAAAATGAGCTGGAACTTCAAAAACAGAAATATTTTGAACTGCAAGCTTTCACCCGGAGTTTGATACTCGCTATTAAGACAGATGATAAAGAACAGCAGCAGGTAAGACTAAGCAACAAGTAAGAAAGCAGTGGGGAACTTTTGTCTTATTCCCCTACTTTGCTGCTTTACAGGACCCGGAGGAGATTTTTCCTTTGTAAATTTTAACCATATATGTAGGAAGTTAGCAATTATATAAATATATTAAAATAATGTGATTTCTTATACCGATAGTATAAATGTGTACCTAAATGTATTATGGGAAAAAGCCATTCCTTACAAAGTGTGAAGACACGTAGGAAAGAAGTCTCGTTAAACAATTAACACAAGGCATCCTATCTATTAAGTAAACAGGTGAAGGACACAGATAAACAGACCAACTCTATCCATCATTTTGAATACAAATGCAACAATAGGCAGTACCTTTATAGACCACTAAAAAACCTATCATGCAGTACACAAGCTTTTGGAGTTAGAAAACAGCTCATCAGGTTTGGACCAGTGTTAAGAACTGAAAAGTCCAAATCTTTGTGGCAAGATGGAATTCGCCAGGCACTTCTCTCCTAGATGTAAGCCAGGAAGTATATGGCTACTGTTTCATGAAGCAGCTGTGGATTGAATGTAACAATTCAGTTCTCTAAGCAAAGAAGTACAGGCTAGATGCAGAAGGAAATGGTTACCATTTTAGAAACATCCTGTAAGAAAAAGATACGTTGAAGAAAGTTATGTGAGAATGAACTTGAAAGTAACACCAATTTAATTATTTATGGTGCTTTGTGTAACATTATAAAAACTACTCTGTGCATTCTGGATTTTGGACTTCTATACTGACACTTCAGAGTGTACATCAATTGATTTCCCTGCTAGCATTAATAAATGTTTTTCTGATACTTCATATTTGAATATGCATTCTGGTAGATGTCTAAGAAAAAGTTCCAAAACCTAAAGGTTCTCATCCAAAGAATGGAAGTTCCGTTGTTCATGGAAGGCCCTAGGTTTGTACTTTCTTGTTCGTTGAGTAGTCTATGTGAGAGCGGTATTGTGTATGCTAAAATAAATTACATAGATTGCAGATCTGGCAAGCCGCATACAGAATACACATATAAAACTTTAACTACTTTACAAAATATAGTTAAAGCCAGACAATTGCAAGATTGAACTTATTTACTTATTTATTTATTTACATTATTTATATGCCACTATTCTTTCCATAGGGGAGCTAAAGCGGCTCACAGCAATTACAATTGTACAATAAATAACAATAGGTTAGATGACTGTACAAAACTGTCTTAAAACATAATTGAAGAGTAATCAAAATTAAAAACAAGATTTTTAAACATTAAAAAATATCTACATTTCATAAATATAAAATTCCCTAAACTTGCACTTACTGCTAAAAAGCCTGCCTGAGGAAGGAGCTCTTCACCAAACGGAAGAAAGACAAAGAGGAAGGGGGGCCCACCCTGGCTTCTCAGGGTAGTCCAGAGTCTACCCTCAGGCATTCCAGAGTCTGGCTCAACCACAGAGAAGGCCCTCTCTCATGTCTTCTAATCTGTAGTAGTAAGTGTCCCCGTTTCCCTACTTCAAAGGTGTTGTGGTGTTTCTTTCTGTCCATTTTGTCAGTTGATTTATGGAGCCAGTGCACCCGGATGGGCTTTGGATCATGAAACAGGAAAGTAGTCTTTTCTGTTTCACCAGGAGCGCTATCAGAGGCTACACAATTTCTCCCTTATCTCTGTTTTATATCCATCTCAGGCACTTCTAGCAGATTTACCTTCCGAGTTAGAAGACATTGATTTCAATCATGCATCTCCAGAACCGGATGATACCTCGTTCAGCTTGTCATCTTCATCAGAGAAGAATGCCTTGGACAGTTTGTGATCTTTTAACAAAGGAAACACTGCAGTATTTTTTTCCCTGATGTATATGTTCTGTACGGATTACATTTTGTTATCCAGTATCTTTAACTATGAAGGGGAAAGATGGGATGGGAAGGAAGACTTAGCAACCTTGTGTAGTGGGTGTGGTTGATGGTAGCTGCAGACTCTAAGAATCTTTTTTTGTTACAAATGTGAAAGCTATTTGAGAAAAAGGTATTATGGTTTTAGTAAGTATGTCCTGATAATGTTACTTAACCAGGATTTTGTAACAGACCTAGTCTAAACAAGGCACCAAGAATGGAAGAAAAATACCCAATAGTGCTAATCAGTCAGAATTATCTCCCTGATCTGGCCTTCAGATTAGGCTCAGTATATGTTCAATATGATGTTTTCTTTCATTCTTTCCCCTTTCTCAGGTACATGGGACCGATCATTGGGAATTATGAGTTTCAAGCAATCAGTGGTAAATCTTGGGCCTTTACTAAAATTATGGTCATTTTAACCAGGGATCAAGATAAATAAGTGCTTTTTATTCTGTATACAGCAATCCATCATTGTGTCTTTTCTCTTTTTCACTCTCCCCCAGTGTATAAGATCTACCTATCGGTTAGCTCCAGTGAAGTCTAAGTGAAAATGGTTAGCTTTCGTAAAAATGCTTCTGCATATAAACATGTGCAGAAAAGCCACAAAGATGTGTACATAGATATGAAGGCTGGGTGGACTCTTTGGGCTTATCTGCAGGCTGTTAGTTCACAGTGAAGCCTCTCAGGAAGTTGGTTTACTAATTTAAACTGGGAACTCCCCCTGTTCCCCTTGGCTAAGAGGTTGGAAAATCAGCAGAAGGAAGATCTAGGGAAACCAAAGCATCTGCATTAGCTCCAGAAGGAAGAGAGCTGTGAGAAGGTTCCCAAGAGATGTGCTTCTGGCACTCTTAATTGGGAACAATGCTTCCATTCGACTATGGATTGGGGTAGCTTTTACAAAAAAAAATCTGGCATGCAAATTGGCTCTGGCATATGGGCCTGCAAATGTAAACATGTTTAGGCCCTCCTGACTCACTTCCTTCAACTTGATCCATAATTAGAAACCCATGCAGAATGAAGCTTGATGACAGATCCATTTTAGGCACCGGTATTGGTTGCATGGGTCAAAATCTTGCTGGGTATCAAGTGCTCGTGATAGCGACTCCTGAATTTTGAGCTACCGTTGCGTGTTGGGCTTTTAACTGGATGAGGTAAATGTTGCATACAAATTAATGTAATTGGTTTTTGGGGATATCATTGCTGTTGCGCAGAGGAATAAGAACTGCTGCCTGGGTACCATAGCATAAACAAACAAAAAAAGGCACAGGATTTATCTGTTTTTGCAATCATGTATTTTAGTAACTGAAACGGCTGTGAAAGAATTCTGTTGTCCTACCCCTACAGCAACTTTGGATGTTGTTTAGACAAGATCCACTTTGTACCTTTTTCGGTCCATCCTTGTCTTGCAATATACTTCTCTCTCCCTCTCTTTCTATCTTATCTGCCTGCGTTCCTCATAACAGCCCATCTCAGCTGGAACGTCCCATAGAGTTAGTTCTGTTTCTTTGTCCTTCTAGCTTGTGTTGTCTTTTGTTACTGAACTCCACCTAAGAGACATAGTAGGAGCTGAATGCCTTTTGCATAGTAAAGAATTGGGCCGTGTATGGATTGTGTGCCCTAGGATAGTTAGCAGAAAATAGATTTGGGAACTCTCAGTAGGTCTCTGTATTATTTGCAGGAGGTCAGGAAGGATTTTTAATTCTTGATTAGAGATGGGGATGTTCATAGTCATTAATGAATATGAATATCCCCATCCTGTGTGCACCTAATACGGGTCCGGCTTTTGGAACCGTCCACTTGTGTGCTGCCAACATGCCATTCTTCCCGCCAGTCTCAGAAGTAGCCGGGCAGGAGGGCAAGTTTCCCTGTACAGCTGCTGGTTCTGAGGGCCAGATCCACATTAGGTGCACCTGGCATGGGGATATTCATGTTTGCTTATGAATACATATATCCCCCCTCTCTATTCTTGATTGTTGTACATAAATGACATCTGGATCAAGGAGTAGCAGGCAGTGAACTTTTGCACGAATGGACTGTGAGTTCAGTTTAGATTTGAACTGAATTTTTAGGCTCCAAATGTGCTCAACAATAACTTCGTGTTTAATTGTTTGACTTTTAATCCTGGTTTTAATTAATGGACCTTGAGGCTCTTATAAAAAAAAACCCAGACAAAAAGCAAAAGTAGATCTGATAAGACACTAGCCACTTCTTGCTGAAAGAGGCTAGGGTGGAATTAATTTGCAAAGGATCTTAAAGGTGGAGACATTTTGTTTTACCTTCTGTTTCCGCTGGATTGGCATTGTGTAACACTAGGCTTGCTTCACTAAATACACTGCTTTGTATGACCAATTTTTTGTAAGGTGTGGAAAACAATCCTTAATTAGTTAGCCTCTGTTTCCTTTCCTGTTCAGGCACTTGCAAGCAGAGATTCTAAAGAACTGAGAAATAGCTCACAATTCAAAATGTAGTCTTCTTTATTTAACTACCTCTCATGTAAGTGCCCAGATTCCCAGGCTAAACAATGCTGGCCTGTTTCTTGTGCTCTCTTTTCAAATTTGGAACTATTCTAAACATGCACTATGAGGGCTTGAGTGTTGGGAAATCTAAAAACTATTGGATAAAATGTTGCTTGTTTTATCGTTCATTCTTATAGTATTTTCATTGTGTCTTGATTTGCTTTACAGCCTTGGGTGGGTTTTTTGTTTGTGTGTTTGTTTGATTTTACAGGTGTGACATAAGTCCATGGCCTCAGGTGGGATTTCAGCGTAACTTTGCAAGACATAAACCTAACTTTTGAGCATGATTGTGCATCACATGATGACTTGCTTGCTGCTGACCTGACCCTCCAATGAAAATAACCTGTTTTCAAATTTGCTATATTTGAAGATTTAACAGTTCTGTCTGTGAACTATAATGGCATGTTGTGATGTAAATAATGCATTTTATTTATTATATTTATTTAAACAATTGCCTTTTCATGTTGAAGTGTTGCATACGGAAGGCAGTTAGAAGCAGATTGTAGGCATGACCGAATTGGCTAGTCTTCATCCACCAGGGCAGTAATCTATGGTCTTTTCCAACTGAGATTCCTGTTAACTAGAACTTGCAGTATCAAGCGCCTTTATTTTATGGTTAGAAGGGCTTTTTCTCCGGACAGTTGCATCAAACAGTGGATTCTGAGATCAGGGTTGGACCTTGGTTGAATCACTAAAATACGTTTTAAAAGTGACCTCTCATGTCTCCATGGCTCTCCATTAGGCAGCTATTGCAGAACCTGGGGAAGAGAGGGGAAATGGTAGAATAAAAAAAAACATGCAAAGATGTGGTAGCAAGGTGTTGAGGTTATGGGATCTGTAGTTGAGTTCTAAAACAAAGGCTAAAACTTGGAAGAATCACCATAAGGGATGGTGATGCCATTTTATCTCTGAGGATCAAGTGTCTTACTTCACTTCTGGAGACAAAGGTTGAATTCTTCACTGCCTTTTCCTGAACATTGCATTGAATATGATTTTGACAGAATCAGATTGCTCTTCAGGTGTGAGAAAACCTGTGCCTGCTTGTAGGATCTTTACTGCACAGCTCTAACAAATAGAAGGAGCTCCATTTCTTTTGCCTTTGATTTTGCTTCTTGCCTCCTTCCTTTCTTTCTTTCTTTTTGATCTTTAAAGGAAAGAAAAAAGTGGTAGAGCCATTGATGTAGCTTCTTCTGCATTCATTCTTAGATAAGTCACAGACAAATGCACTAAGGCATGAAATTAACTTTCTTACTTTGGTACCTACTGTTTGAACTAATTTAGAAGATTTACTACACTGACAAAGTGTGAAGATTTTGATTGCTACAGATATCCACAATGATTCAGAAAAGGAAAGACACTGGAGATCATATTGCAAATATATTTTATCTGTTGCAGCATACCAAAGAATTTCAGAAGAAAAGTCTATGGTTTATAGGTTCCAGCAAAGTCTTTGACTATTTGGATCATGAAAACTTATGGATTGTTCTTTCAGAAATAGATGTGCCAAAACATCCAGTTGTCTTGGTGTGCAACCATTAATTACTCTAGACAAGAGAAAGCTGTTAGGACAGAATGTGGAGACACAGAACTGTCCCATTGGCAAAAGTATCAGACAAGGGTGTATTTTACCATCTTTCTGTCCAAGCTATATGCAGAACAAACCAGGCAAAAAATCTGGATTAGATTCAGTTGAGGGAGGAATGAAAATTGGTGGAAGAAAGATCAGTAATTTAAGGCATACATTGTTACTGGCAGAAAATAGCAATAAGTTGAAATGACCAGGAAGTATTGAGAATTGTTAAAGAAGAAAATTCACAGCTTGACTAAAGTTGAGCATTAAGTAGATAAAAATCATGACTGCAGAAGAACTATATAACTTTAATGTTGACAGTGAAGCAGTTGAAGTTGTTGAAGATTTTTAATGGCAATCAAAATATAAACTGCAGCCAAAAAAAATCCAAAGACTATGGTTTGGAAGGGCAGCTATGAAAAAATTAGAAAAGGTTCTGTTGTGTCATTGGAGATGAAAACCAAGATCGTCCAAACGATGTCTGCATGTGAAACCTGTATAGTGAAGAAAGCTGACAGAGGAAAAAATGTATTCATTTGAAATATGGCACTAGAGGAAAAGCTTCATGGGTACCATAGACTGCCAGAAAGGCAAAAAAAAAAAATGGGTACTACATTAAATCAACCCTGAGGTCTCTTTCCATAAGTGAAAACAACAAAACTGAGGCGGTGGGTATATCACGAGAACACAAGACAATAAAGCTAAGAGAAGACATCAGCAGGAAAAGGAAGAATTAACATGGCATAGGTGGACTGAATAAAGAAAGCCACGCCCTCTGATTTGCACGATCTGAAGAGGACTGTTAATGATAGGTTATATTGATTAGTAGGGTCACCATAAGCCAAAACCTAGTTCACAGCATGTTACAACAGATAGTTAAAACAGAAAATAAGCGTTGTTGATGAAGGGGGTCAGAGAACTGTTATCAGTATACTGGAACAGTCTTTGGTTGGCTATTGCGTTCTTTTACAGCTCAGATTACAACACACTGTTTTCATTAGAAAACCAATGTCTCTCACAAATCAATATCAGCCTTGGACAGGATAAGAATCTAAGCACTTCACCAGCCTTTGTTTGAAGGGGTGTGGGATGCTTTATCACAAATAGTGTCGAAGGGGAAATAACAGTCATTATTTGCTTGCTTAATACTTCCTGCTCCGATCTGTAATTTGAAACAGTTGAACTGTATGCTTTAACTGACACAATAATTCAAAACAAAAACAAAAAAACTTACAACACTTAGTTTTACATGCTACCTCCATGAGTATCACGCTCAAGGCTATAATGTGACATCTTCCCACTCTTAGGCAATAAATTGCTTCCAACAAATGGATATATTTGGACTGCAAATCCCAGAAACCCCGGCCAGCACACCTGGTGGTGAAGTCTTCTGGGAATTGCAGTCCAAAAACTACTTGGGTTTCCCAAGGTTGAGAAGCACTGGTTGAGATAAAAACTGTTACTGAATATTGGAAGTCTTTATTTGGCTTTTTGTTTGTTCTGTTATTATTACTGTGGAAAGAATTGATAGGTGATGTGATAGGCAGCTCTGTGTATGAGAGGGAGAAGGGGGCAGAGAGTGTTTGAGTGAATGTGTGTGTGTGAAAGTGAAATATTACTATTCTGTAAAGGCACAACTTGCAAGCAACATTTTTTGCAAGGTTCCCATTGAAATGAAGGGGAATTGTGCCTTAAAGTTAAAATTGATGTAGTAATAAATAAGCTAATGGCTGTTACTATTGGTCTTCTCCCATTCACCACTGTTTTATTCTTTAGGAATAGCTGATGCAGTGTGCATTGATTGTGGCTAGTTAATTCCAGTGCCAGAGGTCCCTAAACAGTGATTCTGTACTGGATGCATTTGGGTCCATTGAAAAACACTTATTGGTGGGCCCAATCCCACATTTTTAACTGTCCAACTCAGGGGGGTCGTACTATGGATTGCATTTTATTTTATTTTTTACAATTAGATATTTATTTTCTTTTCTCTCTTTTTAGCAACAGATGGGCTGATTTGGTGATTATGCTCCCAGTCTCTCAGCAGCAGTCTCATTTACACAATTCTCAAGTGTAAATAAAATACAGTGGTGCCCCGCTGGACGATTACCCCACTTGACGCCAAATCTGCTTAACGTTGAAGTTTTCGCGATCACTTTTGTGATCGCAAAACGATGTTTAGATGGGGGAATTTTGCTTAACGTTGATCGGTTCCCTGTTTCAGGAACTGTTTTCGCTTTACAACAATCAGCAAACAGCTGATCGTCAGGTTTCAAAATGGCCACCAGCTATAGAAAATGGCTCCCTGCTGTGTTAGGGACGGATTCCTCGCATTACAGGCACCAGAAAATGGCCGCCGTATGGAGGATCTTCGCTGGACGAGCAGGTATTTCGCCCATTGGAACGCATTAAATGGTTTTCAATGTGTTTCAATGGATTTTTTATTTTGCTTGACGATGTTTTCGCTTTACAGCAATTTCGCCGGAGCGAATTAATGTAGTCAAGCGAAGCACCACTGTATGGCAAAAAAAAAAAAATCATTTAATGAATGAAAATTTCATTTTGTGAATGAATTGCCAAATGAAGCGAAAAAGTCATGGTAAACTTTGACAAAGGTCAGGGCGCAACATTTGTTTCTCAGATAGAGATGCCATATTTTAGAACCGTAGTTCACAACTTTGGATAACTCAGGTGTTCTAAGACTGCAGCTTCCAGAAACCCTGGCCAGACATCTAGTAATGAAGGCTTCTGGGAACACCTGAGTTGCCCAGAGTTGGAAATCGCTGTTTTTGAAGCTTTTCAGAGGTAGCTGAGTGTGTTTTGTCATCTATACCAGAACAAAATAGCCTGTAGTACATTAAAGACAGACAGATTCTTTTCAGTGTGGACTTCCATTAATTCTTCACTAATTTGCTGTACCTGTTGCCAGAACATTTATATAATCAACATTTTGAAAGTTCATTACCGGTTAACAATACAGTTTCCATATTCTTCATCGAGGTCCTACTGTCATAACCATGGACATTGTGTATATAAACCTGTGGTTTCAGGAGTGTACTCTGTGTGTCTGGAAAAAGTAAAGTGTAACTCATGACACTTCACACTGAAATGAATCTATTAATCTTAAGGATGCTGCAGACGGTATCTTCTTAGGAAGCGAATGAAAAAGTAACTCCTTTGCAGCATTGGGAAGGGCAGAGTGGTTAAGCTACTCTTCCCTGTGTTAAATATTTATTTCTGGCCCTCACAGTAGACTCCACCTACTTCTTGAGTCAAGGCTGACCTAAATGTAAACCTGGCCACATTTAAAAAGTGTGACCTTTTATAAACTGCTCCTTTAATTTCTCAGCAATTTTACTCTCAGATAAAATTCACTGGCATGGAGCAGCCTTCTGAAAAAGTGGTTTACCATATTTTTCCATGTATAAAATGACACTTTTTCCTTAAATAATTTGAGAAAAAATGAGGGTCGTTTTATACATGGAAGGCAGCTCTTTACCACTGCCTTTTGCGAAGGCACAGGGCTTAGCAAAAAGGACAGGGAGGCATTGCTCCTTTCCTTTTTGCTGAGCTCCGTGCCTTCTCAAAAGGCAAGGAAAAGTGGCAGTCACTTTGACAGCTGCTTTCCCTGCCTTTTGCCAAGGCACGGGGCTTAGGAAAACAGGAGCCCTTTGATCCCTGATTTTTCTAATTTGGGGTTAGAAAAGGGGGGTGTCATCTTATACATTGGGTCGTCTTATAAATGGGAAAATATGGTAGTTCTCCTTCCTGACTTAGGCCATCTGAAGTACAGGGGTTAGAGGCTTGTAAAAACACACACCCTAGTTGAGCAAGACAATGATATTTTATAAGCATTGTGAAAAAGATCAAGACATATTTGCCTGGTGAAGTGGCATAAAGTGATTGAGAATCAGGCTTGCTGTCATCCAGTGATCCTAGAATACAGTATTGTAGAAATGATTTTTTTTAAAAAAAACCAATTTACTGTGATCCTGCTGCCTCAAGAAATCTCTGGCACAATTTAGGCAAAGTTGTGCGAATCGTTGACACTAGTGGGATGTGGACACACAGATCCTTAAAATCTGATGATTTCACTGGGATTTGACATTGCAGAGGTTTTCTGGATTGTATCAGGAAATGATGCATTAATGCAAGTGTTTGGAGTTGATTTTTAAAAGAGAACAGTTCAGCTATGTTTGCCTCTGGCATCCCACTCCACTTTGGAAGGTTGTATTAATATACTAATATGGGTGGTTCGAGTTTTATCTCTTAAGGATGCAAGGGAGGAACATGTGCATTGATTTTAAAAAAAAATCTCCCTGTGACTTTTCCATAGCACTGGGAATCTGCCGTCTGAACAGATGTTGAGTAAACACTTCTGTGTTCGGAGACAGGTATCCTCTCATTTTACTCTTGAACAACATGGATAGCAGGCTCAAAGCAGCTTTTGATTAAATGAAGGGGCTTTCACTTGCAGTGTCCTGTACCTTCCTGTCACTGAAAATCGTTTCAGTGGGACAAGGCGATGAAGAGAAGGAATTATAGCAGATTTACACTGTGTTAGCTTCTAGTTCTTTCAGCTTCTACCTCTGCTGTAATCCTCTTCTGCTGCCAAAGGATCTAATGTGCATCATCCTTTTTTAAGTATATATACACAAGGCACAAAAAGTAGGACAAGGTACCTGTGACATAACGCAGTCCATTTTTTTGAGCTGGTGAACACCCGAGGAAGACCTCCACATCCTTTTCCCTACCCAGTGCCAGTTATTTCTTGGAAAGCATTTGAACCGGTTAGGTGCAAAACCAGTTTGGGATCAAATAGGAACACAGTGTTTATTGATCTTCTACTGTTCATTGTTAAGCTGCTAGGGGATAAGTAGCATTTGATTCCCAACAGGAAGTGGCCAGTGTCATCTCAGCATGTAAGCTACCATTGTAAAATTCTGTTCTTTTACTGTAGTAACAGTTGACTCTAATGTTTTTGTTGAAAGCCTCTAATGTTTAAGTATTTTGTGTTTTTGCCTGTTCTTTTTTAAAAATATAAACTGGTATACTATTCAAATGTGCCAACGAAGTACTTACCTTTAACATAATGTCTGTTTGGCCGGTTTTGGCCAGTTTTGTAAATTTAGTGTGATTTAAAACTGAATTTCTCTGTGAAACTCAGTATTTATATTGCCGTTTTATGACATGTAAATGGTATGTGTAGCAAGAAGATTGACAGATATTTAACTTGAGTACCTCCACTGTAACCCAGGACATATGAACTTGATTTATTGGAAAGATGGATTCCATCCATTTGTATTGATCTTGCTTCTGTGTATATATATAAGGATATTTATAATCTTATATTAACAAAACCCATCACATACAGAAGAGGTGATTCCTTCATTAGATACCTTCTCAGCTATTTTTATATAAACTGTTGGTGTCTCTGCCTTAACTTTTTTTGTGAAAATTTGTGCCATAGATTTTTTAACTTATCATGAATAGCTTTCCAGCTTTTATTTGATTTACATTTTGAAATGAAATATGAGCATTGGATTTGATTTATTGGATAGTTTTGAAGTCACCTACTGTATATTGGCTACAGATTGTTCTTCAAAT